CCCCCCAGTACTCACCTGGGACTCCCACCGCCCCCCTAGTACTGCCCGGGGACCCCCACCCGCTGCTCCCTGGCACTGCCTTGGGATCCCTGGCACTGCCCTGGGACCACCACACACCCCCAGTACTGCCCTGGGACCCCCACCCACTGCTCCCTGGCACTGCCCTGGGACCCCTACACACCCCCTGCCCCCAGCACTGCCCCGGGACCCCTGGCACTGCCCTGGGACCCCCACCTGCCCCCCCTGGCACCTCTCCCTTACCGGTACCGTCTGTGTCCCTGCTATGGACTGTGTGCTGGCGTCGGTGCCCGGCTGCTCGGCGTGGCTCTGTGCTGGTGTGTAGAGGGTCATGGCGTGCTCCGGTACTGTGCTTTGCCCCGAGTAGTCCTGCGTGGGGTGGGGGTGCGGCGGCGCGTACTCTGCGGGGATCCCGTTCTGGGGGGGTGGGGGGTACTGGGCCGGGGGGTAGGGTTGAGCCATCGCGTCCGGCGGAGCCGTGGCGTCCTGGTTACCCTGCCGAGACAGCGGCGCCAGCCCCCTTACCCACCGGCGTCCCCGGGGGGGAAGCCTGGGCTGCCACCTGCCTCCGGGAGGGGTCCTGACCCCCCCAAGCCCCACCATACCCTTTTGGTGTCCCCCCCACCCAGACCCTCTGTGCTGTGGCAGCTCCTGGGATGCATTGCCCACAGCTGAGCCCCCATCCTCTCCTGCTCCAGGACCCTGCCTGCCCCGTGCACTAGGGCAGTGCGAGGATGGACCCCCCCCCAACCTGCTGTGGGGATTAACTAGGGGGGCCAGCACATTGCCCTCTCCCCAGGGATGGAAACCAGAGCATCCCTGGCTTTGGAGCCCGATGTGGGCCAGGGGGGACCACACAGCATCAGTGCCCACCGAGAGCACACCCAGCCTGGCAGTGAGGGTGGTGGAAATGAAGGGGAAGGGGGGGGCTGGGGAGGAAAGGGAAGGGCAGCTGGGGAGGGGAAGAGTGTTGACGGCCCCTTGGCAAACACCAGGCAAGGATCAATTAACTGCTAAATATTTAATTAGGCCCTTTGCTCTAATGCAGCCGGCCTGGGTGCCCTGGTCAAACGGGGTGAGCTGCACCTGCAGCACGGGCTGCCCGTTGATTGGCGGGGGGGGGCACGTTATGGGGCCGGGGAGGGCAGCGTGGGGCAGCCAGCACCTCTCCTGCACACGCACCCCCCATCCACCCTCACAGCCCTCGTGCTCTCCCCCTTGCACACGCGTGTGCTGCACCTGCCACATGCACAGACACCCACCGTGGCGCACGGCCCCCCTCAGCCACCGAGAGGCTGCGACCACCTTGTGCCAGTGCACGGGGCAGCCCCCCCCCTCCCACCCCCCCAGATGCTTCCCGCCAGCCCACCTCCACTGGAGGGTTTCCATCCTGCGCTCAGCCAGGCCCCGCCACCTGAGCCTGCCCCGGAGAGAGGGCAGACACCGAACTGTCACAGCGGTCACACTGCCAGCAGCCCTGATGCCCAGCATCTGACCCTCCCTGTCTTCATCCCTGATACCCAGAAATCAACCCTCCCTGCCTGCATCCCTGATGCCCAGCATCTGATGCTCCTTGCCTGCATCCCTGATGCCCAGAAACCAACCCTCCTTGCCTGAATCCCTGATGCTAGTGCCCGGTCCTCCCTGCATCTCTGATACCCAGAACTTGGTCCTTCCTGCCTGCATCCCTAGCTGGAGGGAAGGGGGGGGGCACACTGCCAGCCGCCATCCCCCAGCTGGCAGGGCTGTCACGCCTGGGAGGGAGGCAGGGGAGCCCGTGCCGGGGGCACGGAGGGGACCACACGTGAACCCAGTGTGAATAATCCCGCTACGGATCTGCAAGTCACTGCCAGCGCCTTTGCCTGAATCCCTGATGCTAGTGCCCGGTCCTCCCTGCATCTCTGATACCCAGAACTTGGTCCTTCCTGCCTGCATCCCTAATGCCCAGCATCTGATGCTCCTTGCCTGCATCCCTGGTACCCAGTGCCCAATTCTCCCCGACTACATCCCTGATAGCCATCAGTTGACCCTCCTTGCCTGCATCCCTGATGCCTAGCATCCGACCCTCCTTGCCTGCATCCCTGATACCCAGTGCCCGACCCTCCTTGCCTGCATCCCTGATACCCAGTGCCCGACCCTCCTTGCCTTCATCCATGATACTAGTGCCCGGTCCTCCCTGCATCCCTGATACCCAGAACCTGGTCCTCCCTCCCTGCATCCCTGGTACCCAGCATCCGACTGTCCCTTCCTGCATCACTGATACCCAGAACCTGGTCCTTCCTGCCTGCATCCCTGATGCCCAGCATCCGACCGTCCCTCCCTGCATCCCTGGTACCCAGCGCCCAATCCTCCCTGCCCACATCCCTGATGCCAGCACCCGACCCTCCCTGCCTGTGCGCACAGAGCTAGCAGCAGGAGCCACCTGCAGCACTCCTGCATGCTCCACGCTGGACACTCGTCCTTGCTGCCACCACGGCCAGGATCAGCCACCGTCACAGCGCTGATGGCTACCACTGCCCAGGCAGGAAAAGCCAAGCGGGCAGGGGGACGCAGACGGGTACCGGGACAGGGACCATCCCCACCTGCCCAGGTCTTGGGCCCCACTGGCTCCTCGCCAGCCCGTCCCGACAGCCACGTTCATTTCTGTTATTAATTAGGGCTGTCGCAGTGCTTGTCAGCCCAAGTATTATTTCATTCAGGGACCATTAGGTTCCCCTGTTTCGCCGCTCGCCATCGCCGGGGCTGCTGGTGCTGCAGAGGCACAGATCTCCAGCTCCCAGCACCTCCCTCCCTCCAGCCCAGCTCGGTGTCGGGGGGCTGCCGGGGGGCGAGGGCCCCACGGGGACGGGGATGGCGACAGGTTTGACTGTGTGATGCTCCTTGACGTCACAGGGAAGTGGCTGCTGCTCAGCTCTGCGTCCTCCGCTGCCAGCCGCTGGGGCTGCCTGCAGTGGGGGAACAGCCCCTGGGCAGCCCCGGGGACCCCCTGCTCCCCCGGGGGGAGATTCTGGGTCCCCAGCCCCACAGCAGCCCCTCAGCCTGCACCAGGAGCAGCCCCTTCCCTGAGTCCCTCCCTCCACCAAGCGCCCAGGGGGTCTTGGGGACCCACCTGCACCCTATGGGAGGCAGCCAGATGGCACCGACCCACAGGTGGGTGCTCTCAGCTTGGGGTGCCCAGCTGTGCGGGGAGCCCGTGGCGTGGTGCCAGCCTGGGGGTGCCAGGGACAGGGGATTCCTACAGGCGTCCCTTCCTCGTGCACCGCACGTCCCTCCCGGGGGTGTGGGGGATGCTCCTGCGCTTTGCGGGGCAGCTCTCCGCATTGGCATTAAGAGAAATTCTGATTATTAATGGCCCGTGGCCCTCATTTAGTAAATGAGACGGGAGATTAGTGCAGTGCCCAAGACCGAGGATGGAGCAAAGCTGACAGTACTTAACAGGGCATGGGGGGCACGAGCAGCACCCCATCACCCAAAGCATGGTGGCCCCCGGGACAGCAGCACAGGGGCTGGGACAGGGAGTCCAGGCCCCCGCTGTCAAGGGGAGCAGGTACACACTGCCATGTCCTGCAGGCTGGCAGGCGTCCTGCTGCCTCCCAGCACCTTGGCAGAACCCCACACCGAGGAGCTCGGGGCCAGGGGAGCCCCCACAACCAGGGGAGCCCCCCAAGAGCAGCTCCATCCAGCTGGCTGTGGGACCCTGCTCCCCAAGCCCAGCTCTGGAGGGGCAGGGTCAGTGAGACCCCAAGGTCCCCAGCGTGGTGTCCCCTCTACGGCGTCCCCTGCCCTGCCTTCATCTCAGCCCCGCGCCACCAGCCCTGCGCAGCGGCTGCCGCAGCAGGCAGGGGGTGGATATTATCTTTAGCTGATTAAATGTCCCTCATTAACGAGTTTCTTTAATTAATGAAGTTTTTTTTTTGCTTTTTTTTTTTTTTTTCTGTTTGCTCCACTTGCTTTCTCCCCACCGCACTCTGCCTCCTCAGCACAATCCAGGCCATTTCCTTTCAAGTCATTTAGCGCGTGGGGCCGGTTCCTGCCGACGCCGCACTTTGGTGATTGTGCCTGTCAGCTCGGGGCTGACGACGCCGTTTTTAACATTTGCTCCTTTTTTAAGAAAATAACCCACCAGGAGCCCCCCGAACGCCGAGGACGCGTCTGAGCAATTAAGCCGAGCGCCTGTGCCAACGAGAGGACACCCTGTGACATCCCACCACGCCGCGTCCTGCCAGCGCGGTGCCAAGGTGCAGCGTGTGAGCTCACGAGCTGCCGTCACCCGCTGCCACCCACCTCCAGCCACGGACGGGCAGCACGGTGGCTGTCCCCACAACGAGCTGTCCCCACGTTCAGCCCACAGCATCTCCTCACGCTCACGGTCATGATTTACAGCCACGCTGCCCATCCTGGGGCTGCTCCCCTCGCCCACAGCCACACACGTGCCCAGGGCTTCCTCCAAAAAGCCTCATGACCAACCTCCAGCCACGGACGGGCAGCACGGTGGCTGTCCCCACAACGAGCTGTCCCCACGTTCAGCCCACAGCATCTCCTCACGCTCACGGTCATGATTTACAGCCACGCTGCCCATCCTGGGGCTGCTCCCCTCGCCCACAGCCACACACGTGCCCAGGGCTTCCTCCAAAAAGCCTCATGACCACTCTGCCACCTTGTCCCCTTCCTGCTCTTGGCCTCAGTCCAGGGAAACCCCCACCCAGCCAGCTCTGATGGTGGATGTCCCCTTCCTGTGCGCTGCGCTCAGGACAGTGCTGCTGGTGCAGGGGTGGCACGGCACCCACTGACTGGTCCCAGCATGGCACTGACTGGTCCTGGCACAGCACTGACTGGTCCCGGCACGGCATCGACTGGTCCCAGCACGGCAATGACTGGTCCTGGCACAGCACTGACTGGTCCCAGCATGGCACTGACTGGTCCCGGCACGGCACTGACTGGTCCTGGCACGGAAGACTGGTCCCAGCATAGCACCGACTGGTCCCGACATGGCACTGACTAGTTCCAGCACGGCACTGACTGGTCCCGTCATGGCACTGACTGGTCCTGGCACAGCACTGACTGGTCCCGGCATGGCACTGACTGGTCATGACACACATGCAGCCTGGCTGGCCAGCAGCATGCTGACCCCTCAGGCAGCTGGGGAAGGGGCACAGTCCCATCACCGCACACCCCCTCACTGCCAGGGAGAAAAGGGAGCCCCGAGAGCAGCGTGCACCAAAGAGCCAGCAGCCACGGGTGCCTGGGGGGGGGCAGGGGCAGCCAGCCCAGCTCCGCTCCCCAATTCCCATGGCTGTCCCACTCCCTCCATCGGGAACCCACCGAGGGGTGCAGTGAGGGGCTGGGGTCCCCACCACAGCATCCACTGTGGCCACCAAGGTGTTCCTCAGAGCTGCAACGCCTCAGTGGGCAGCACATCCTGCAGGCAGGGCAGGCAGGGAGCACGTTCCCCTGTCCCAGAGTGGCCCCTGTGCCCTCACTTGCTGTCAGGGCAT